GTTTGAGTTCCTTATATATTCTAGATACTAGTCCTTTGTCTGAAGAATAGCTGGCAACATTTTTTTCCCATTTTGTAGGTTGTCTCTTCACTCTACTAATTGATTTCTTTGCTGTGCTGAATACAATTTTTATCCCTGAACTCCAGACCTTGCACTTGCGAGGCAGGAAGCAACAGCACTGAGCTAAATCCCTAGTCCAGGAGATTTGTAAGTTTCTGTAATCGCATTTGTTGTTGTTGTTTGAGACCGGGTTTTGCTATATAGTTCAGGCTGGTCTTGAACTCACTGTGTAGTCCAGGTTGGCCTTGAACTCAGGGCAGTCCTCTGCATCGGCTGGAATTATAGGGCATGTGCCAGCCTGTAATCTTATTTGTTGAGTCTTGCTAAGATTTCTTGTGCATTTGCAGTTCTGCTTACGAAATCCTTTCCTCTGCCTATAACTTCAAGTCAAGTGTTTTACCTATTTTATCTTCTGAAAGGTTCATTGTTTTTGTTTTAATGTTTAGATCTTTGTTCCACTTTGATTTGCGTATAGTATGTGGGAGATATGGGTCCAGTTTCAACCTTCTGCCAAAAGGTACCCAGTTTTCCTACCACCATTTGTTGAATAGGCTATCTTTCCTCCAACATGTGATTTTGGCATTTTTGTCAAAGATCAAATAGTTGAATGTTTCTGGGGGGTCTTTTTGTGTCCTCTGTCCTGCTCTAATAATCCATATGCATGTTTTGTTCCAGTTCCGTGCCATTTTTATCAGCTTTTTGTAGTATATCCTGAAGTCATATATTGTGCAGCACATTTCTGTGTATCTGGGTAAGTCACGGATGTGTAGCCTCAAGATCTCTACGAGGTCCTTCACCCCTTCCTCTCTTACACTCTTTCCCTACACTGCTCCCTGGCAACCAAAAAAATTAAGGAGCTTTGCTCCTTCAAGCCTTGCCATCACGGCATTTCTGCCTTGAATCTGCTGACCGAATACTGAATTTCTGGAAACCGAGCCAAATTAAATCTCTCTTCCTTTAATTTGTGGGTGTCAGGTGTTGTGCGCCAGCGTCGGGAAGGCTAACGAACACAGAAAGTGGATAACAACAATGGGCCATCGCTGTGACTGAACCTCATCATATGGTTTAGCAACCTTGGCAACTGGTATGCAAGTAGGATTTGGAAAGGTTGATAACTGTGGCTTAGAAAAGCCCCAGAATCATTTAAGTGGAACCTGATGGATGATTCTGGCCACAGCCTAGAACAGAATACTGACAGGAATACAGACAGTAAAGGCTCAGAGAGTTTAGGTTAGGAGCAAGTATTTCACTGGTAGTTGGCATAGAGGCCACACATGTTATACTCTGGAAGAAAATCTGTCTATACCGTGCCCCGTAGCGACCCCTCTACTCCGTATTAGCAGGCATAGCGGCACGAGCTTTTTGCCCCTCCATAATTACGTTGGATGTAGTCCAGTCAGCTAAGTTCACTTCCAGCCAAGGTCAGCTTGGCTCCAACTAAATTCCTCCCTTCTCCATTAACCATTTATTCTCTTCACATAGATATGTTTGTGCCCTCACTCTACTGTCCTGCCTGCCTGATACTTGTTATCAGCAGGTGTCCCAAGGCCTGCCCAGCTCTCTGCCTTCCCACGCTTGTAATGAATAAACCCTGGATTCCCTGCAAGTCCTTTGTCTTTGCTGCCCAGAGCAGCTTAGATGAGCCCGGGCTCAGTTTCTCTCAACTCTATATCTGGGTCTTTATTTCCCATTTTCCTAACTCAGAGACGTCGTACTGGGCTCTCTATCTCTGTAGGAGAGTGAGACCCACGGCCAGGGTTTTTTGTAACATTTCTTAACATCCCCTTTCCCATTCCCTATGATGCCCAAGTCCTGAGGCTTCACAGGAGATTGAGATTAAGGGTGGTAGACTAATTAATCCAGCAGAAAAAAATTACAAGACAGACCAATATTCAACTGTGGCACCAATACTGCTGGACAATGAAAACCAGATTTATTTTGAGAAATGGGGACAAAGGGCAGAGCAGAGAATTTAGAAAAAATACATGTTATCCCAAAAGGAACCTCGTGTTAATTTAGGAACAAAGGAAGTGTAGAGCTGGAGAGTTAAGTGCCATTTAAAACAAACCAAAAAAAAAAATTTTTTTTTTTTTACAGGGACGAGAACAAAGATACCTCAAGGACATCTCAGGAATCAGCAAGACCCCACCCAATGCAAGGTTGAAGGGTGAAAAATTGTCAGCCTTTCATTTGAGAAGACAGTCCCTGGAATCCTGCTCAAGAAGGGCTTCCTAAGGAACTGGTTCCTGAGATTCATTTCATCATGAGCAGCCATCCATGCACTCAGGTTGGCACTGCAACCATGTTCTAGGAGGCCCTGGCTACTGTCTTTACTGAAAGCAGCCCTGGGCATCATGCACATACTGCTGATTTTACCAGCATGCACAGTACAAGAGTTGTAGGGTCAGGGAGATTCCTAGTCAGATTTCAGAGGACTGCGGGGCAAGGAGCCTCTGTGCAGGCAGCAGGTGAAGCTGTGGGAATGACTGCAAAAGTGCAGTGGAGATGCCAGCAACATTGACTGTTTTCTGAGGCATGGTGTATCCCCCAAGTTCAGCCACCCCCAGACAGAGGCTACGCGGACCACCACTAGCAAGGACATGGGTGGGGCCGCCCCAGCCCTCCTGAGCCTCGCATCTCACAGCCACGTGCCCCGGATGCTGGCTATGGAGCTACAGGATTTAAAAGTTGCCCTGCTGGGTTTCAAACCTTGCTTTAGTCAGATTCTTTTCTAACTTCTTATTTCTATTTCTACCTTTGGAAGTGGGAATATTTATTCTGTACCCAGCTAAGGATTTGTCTTCAGTCTCAGAAAAGTACTGGGCTTGGATTTTTTCTTTTTAATGCCAGGAGAAATTATTTGATGGAAGGAATAATTGTGTTTCTAAGTATACACAGGACAGGTGTCTTATGCTAGGCAGAATTATGGCCTTGCTACTGTCTTCATTTAGATATGGAGGTTTGGTTTAAGATGTGTTTGTTGAAGAAGAGGAATGCAGTAGTTAGTGTGGAATAACAAATTGACTGTCTATGGCATCCTGCCAGTGGATAAATGCAGTACATTTCTGAGTGTGCTGTGCCTGGGTGGGTCATGAAGGCATGTCCTGGGAGTCGATTTCTGGCTTTCAATTCCTTCCTCTCTAGCACAATTCGTCCTCTGTGCTTCTTAGCACCAGAAACTAAGCAACAATCTTTCCCCTGCCCTTTCACCAGCATGTTTCTGCTTGGTAGGCAAATGAAACCTCTTTTCCTTGGAGCCAATGGTGGCAGCTCATTCCTGTAATCCCAGCACTCAGTGGACTGAGGCAGGATGATTGTTAGGAGTTTGAGGCCAGCCTGGGCTACCTAGTGAGTCCAAGACCAGCCTGAAATACATAGCGAGACCCTGTCTCAGAAAACTAACTGTAAACAAAACAAAACCTTTTCTCTTAAATTGGGCTTGTCATGTTTTGTGCCCCAGTGACAGTCAAGCTGCCTAAAATAACACCCAAGAGATCTTATAGAGCCAATGTCATCTAAATCCCAATGAGGCTGGACGTCATGGGGCCTACCTATGACCCTAACCACTGTGAAAGCTGAGGGAGAAGGATCATAAATCTGGGCCCAGACTGGGCAACTTAGTGAGATCCTGACAGTCTCAAATTAAAAAAGGAAAACGTCTAGGAGTGTACCTTACTGACAGAGCGCTTGCCTGACATGTGCAAGGCCCTGGGTTCATTCCCCAGTGCCACTAAAACAAACAAAAACAGCACTAACCATGACCAAACCCAATTAATTTTTTTGCAGAAGTATAAAATTCTGCCTTAAAATTCATATTCAAATGAACCAGAATAGTTGAAACAATCTTGAAATAAAGAAAGTTGAAAAACTCACACTTCTTCATTTCAAAATTTACTATAAAGGCGCCATAAAACAGCACGATGAAGCAGTTAATTTTTTTTTTTATAAACCCTAGCTCTTTGAGTCATTAAGTTGAAGAATGAAATCATGGACAACAGGATAAATTTAGGAGAGCGTTTATTAGGAACAGTGAAAAGAAAAGAGCTGCTGGTGAATGCCCATGAAGAGGCGGGTAGTCCAATGGGGCCTTATACAGAGAAGAAGAGTAGGACTTCCTTTAAACAGGTGGGTTTGTGGGTTTAATGTTTAAAGAAAATTAATTGTTTAGCTGGCTTACCAGAAACTGGTTACTATGCATTTCCAGTTCCTAGTCTTGAGTCAGGAAGGACCTGTTAACTACTTCTGGTCCAGAGGAATAAGAGCCTCCCTGGGAGAAATGATCCTTGTCTCTCCATTATCATCTTAACCTTTTGTCTTTTGTTCTTGTATTTTCTTTTTAAAAATTTTTTTTATTTTTTTGAGACAGGGTCTCACTGTGTAGTTGAGGCTGACCTGGAACTCACTATGTAACCTAGGCTGGTCTCGAACTCGCAGCGATCCTCCTGCCTCAGCCTCCCAAGTGCCGGGATTACAGGCATGCGCCACCACACCCGGCTTTCTTGTATTTTCTTTTAAATCTCTAAGCTTGAGTATTTTCTTTTATCCAACCCTATTGCTCTGACTGCCTCTTCACAACTAAACTAAACTACTCCAATGGTACTTGTAGACAGATTTATCTATCATAGAATAGAATGGAGAGATCAGAAATAAGCCCTTACATATGTAGTAAAATGACCTTCAACTAGGGTACTAAGATGATTCAATTTTTCTTTTAAATCTCTAAGCTTGAGTATTTTCTTTTATCCAACCCTATTGCTCTGACTGCCTCTTCACAACTAAACTAAACTACTCCAATGGTACTTGTAGACAGATTTATCTATCATAGAATAGAATGGAGAGATCAGAAATAAGCCCTTACATATGTAGTAAAATGACCTTCAACTAGGGTACTAAGATGATTCAATATGAACCTGAAATCCCAGATACTCATTAGGCTGAAGTAGGAGGACTACAAATTTGAAGCCAGTCTATTTCAAAATAAAATGGAAAGGCTGGTGATATGAATCACCAGGAAGCGGGAAAGCACCCCTGGGGTTCCTCAGTACAGGAAAAATAAATTAACGCTAAGGTGATCAAAGACCTAAAAGAAATAAAATAATAAAGTTCTCAACAGGACACCCAGGGCTGAGTTTGAGGCTTCTTGGCTTCTTTCAAAGATGACCTCCTGATCAGTTCTTCTATCAGTGCTTCCTAGGAGGGAACAAAATTGTACATGGTACAATTATTATATTATATTCAAATGAAAACAGTACCCACCCCAGCAAAGCCCCAAAGCCTGAAGTGTGCCACCGACGGGTAGATAAACTTCAGCCATGATTTCAGGCTTTTGGGGCCTGAGTCAGATTGGGGCAGAAAGTGGCTGGGCAATTGGGCATGACCTGTCAATCCCGGAGATTTGTCAACCACCGCCAGGACACACACGCAGAACAACTTCTGAGTCCTGCAGCCCTGATCTGATATCAGAAAGGGGTGGTAAGAGAGCCCAGATATTAAGTACATGGCCTCCGTGACCTTCTGCACCAGCTTACTCTGCTCTGCAGGGTGTACTTCTTCAACTGGCCCACACTCGCTCTCTACAGCACACTTCTTTGCTATCTTTAATCCTCACTTTAGCCCTCACCTTTAACAAATATAAGACCTCTGCCTTCTTTGTTTGTCTTGTTCAATTCTTTGACCAGGACAATAAGAAGGTGAGAGGGTCTCCTGGGTACCCCAACATTCTGGTTTTTGTTTTTGTTGTTGTTGTTTTTTGATTTTTTGAGACAGGGTCTCACTATGTAGTTGAGACTAACCTGGAACTCACTATGTAGCCCAGGCTTATCTCGAATGCACAGTGATCCTCCTGCCTCAGCCTCCGGAGTGCTGGGATTACAGGCGTGTGCCACCACACCCGGCCCACCCCAACATTCTGTAATAGTTTTGGTAAAGCCACCTAGGAGGAAAGCGCAGACCACCACAATGTGGAGAGGCAACAGGGCATGGAGTAGGGACGAGGTGTCCCGAGAGGTGCAGCTGTTCAGCTCAGGTCCCACTGAGGAGACGAGTCAAGTGCACACCCCCACCCACTCCCCACACTGGGCTTTGGCCTGTCAGCTGGGCCAAGGTGAAGGGAGCAGCCTCCGGTGACTCTGGGCCTTCTGGTAGGAAGCTCTGCACTTGAGCACCAGCTTTGGCTAGATGGCTGGGTGATCAGCTGAAGGTTTTTGACTCCAGAACCTCTGGGAAGGTGGTGTGAGGCACAGTGGGATGAGGGCAGTGGAACCAAGCCGGGTGCAGCACCAGATTCCCATGCTGCATGTGTCCTTGTGCCAGACAGGGTTAGAGGATGCCCACAGACCGCTCCAAGGAAGGCAGAAGCAGTCACTTAAGGCTTGTCCTGCGTGCCTGCGGAGCCACCCTGTACGGCCAGGCTAGCTGGGCTCTTCTCGTGGAGGCCAAAGCAACGGCAAGTAGGTGGGGCCGTTAGCATGGACAGCCCAGGCTTCCTGCCAATCCTTTCCTTTAGGGCGTGGCCAGGTCCTCAGTGTGGGTCAGCTGGATGGGAGCCACAGCAGCTCCTACCCAAAAGCGCTGCTGCTTCCCTCGGGGGATTAGGCAGGGCCTTTAAAATAGACCAGGCAGCCGGGAGCCACCGTCTCCTCCCACCCAGCTGCCTTCCTGCTTGCCGTGGGGGTGGATGTCTCTCCTGCCTGTCTCTTATTCCCACTGCTCCCTCCACTGCAGCACACAGGAGACTGTGTGCCAGAGCTGGAAAGGGGCCCGAGTCAGAGCACCTGGTGGATACGATCTGTAGCACGTGACAGTGTGACGGCGGGGGCAGAAGCGACTACCCATGAGGCAGGAATGCCCAGACTCGGGGCCCCAGGCGATAACTGGAG